GATCGAACCTTGTTTTAGATGACGTGAAAAAATTTATAGAATTTTGATCAACGCATTTTTATATGTCATTAGCTACAGTGCAGTATAATTAGGTGTTGGATAAATGTCAACAACTGGAGTATATTATGGTTTTTTCACAAATATAAAAAATATCAACCAAAACGAGAGATCAAATTTTACATTGTGTATGTGGATATGAATGTGCATGTATTACCATCGAAATAAAAGAGGTACAAGGAACAAAATAAGACTATTGAATAGAGTAAGATTTCAGTAACGATCCAATAGTCTCCACATAGTCAACACTACTAATTTTTTCACACCTATTTCGGACACATTTTCATGCGGACATTTCTGTCAAAACAACAAGGCAAAAGAATTATGGAATGTTTGCAAAAGGTTTCAAGTTCATATATATACGCTCCGGCCTTCTTCAGGTGGTTGGAATTTAGATCGAAATAAAGGGTTCAGTTCGAAATTCCAACCACCTGAAGAAGGCCGGAGCGTACAACGGCCGAAACGTTGTGACAAATATGGTGACAAAGCTGAGGACAATAGTCCGACTAATGTAAATACTGTACATAATACCTCATCTCAGAAATATAGACAGATCCAAAACACTCTCCTGAGTTATGTCAAAATTATCTCAAGTAAAAAAAACAAAATTTTGGAAATTATGACTTCCTGACCTCTCTCCCATTGATTTAATGTGGGATGGGTTGGATAGGAGGGTTCGAAAAGAATAAGCAATGAAAGAGAGTGATTTTTTTCAGTGCTTGAAAAATGCTTGAGAAGGACTGGTATCAACATTTTTTAAAAACCTATTGAAAATAATGCCAAGCATTTATAAAGTAAAAGGTAGCTTTAATATTTTTTTTATAGTTTTGTCAAAATAAAAAAAATTTTGGCCTGTAATATATATATATATATATATATATATATATATATATATATATATATATATATATATATAGAGAGAGAGAGAGAGAGAGAGAGATAGATAGATAGATAGATAGATAGATAGATTCATAGGTTCACAAAATTTGTATATAATTGTTAGAGAAATAATTCAAAACTATTGAAAAGAACGCAAAGAAGCGCCAGTTTTGTTTTCTCAAAGACTATTGAAGACTATAACTCATTGGTTTGCTTTTTACGAGTTACCAGCCCCTTACTGGTTATTTAAACATATTATAGATTATGAGAATATTTGCATTAACATTTTGAGAATAACAATTATTTTTCCAGATACATATCCAATTATTTAGCCATAGATGATGATGATGATGATGATGATGATGATCATCATCATCATCATCATCATCATCATCATCATCATCATCACCTCTTTTTTTTGGTCAGAACTCCATTGACTATCTCTTTCCACACTATTCGGTCTTGTATTGTTGTCTCCAGATTCTCAGTACTCAACCTTCATTCCCAAGCTATGGTATCTGGGGAAAGTCAATTTTTGTGAGAAGACACTTTTTTTTTGTAGAATTCCCTTCCGACGCCATTCTTTCCAGTCAACTTTTATCTTCAAAAATTTAAATGCAATATCAATCGCTATCTATTGTCCTCCTGATTACTTTTTTCTCTTCCCGCTCATTAATTAATGCCTCTGTTCCTAATTCATCCACTCGCAACAACCCATTGTGTCTTTACTGCCTTACTCAAGGTGAAACTGATTTTAAAAAATTAAAGTGATTCACTAATTTCTTATAAAATCTAGTCTATTCACAAACAAGTAACCTTTCAGGAAGAGGAATCTAAAAATAATTTAAAAAAAGTATCTCCCATAGTTAGAGCTTTTCTCCTCTAGCATATGTAGAATTTGATATACCCCCCAAAATAAACTAAGTTACATAGTTGAAGAATAGATTTTATTCTTTTCCGTAAATACCAGTCTGTTTTTTTTCTTCTTCATATAATAAAGATTATAAGATTTCGTTGAAATGTTTCATGTCACGTCACGAATCCCCTAATACATTAAGATTGCAAGGGAATCATATATAACACAACCAAATCAGTAGTGGTGTGTCTAGAACAAATTAGTCTAACAGCCCATCCTTCTTCAAGCTGGTATGGAATTCAGATTTTTCCTTCTCCTAGACAGGTTGCCCCCTGCCAACTCTATATAATCCATAGTGTTGAGAAAGTGAACATAACGAACTTGGACAGCATTTGAACTCTGCTTGTTGATTTATTTTTTCCGAGTCGCTAACCGCTCGCACATCCGTTGGGATGTTTTGAACGCTGTCAATCGTTCAGTTGACAAGCACATTTAAATAAGTGTTGTAGTATACCTACTGTTATGGTCCAGGTCCTTGTAACACGGTGATGGTTCAAGATAGAACCAATAAAGAAGAACTCGAACACGGATATGGAATAACACAGATATATTACAAACAGGAATATATACAGAGAAGTAGAAAGTGTTAGTACAAACAATCAGGTTTAGTAGAGAGAACAATGTGGTCTCGACCAGTATCACTATTCCAATGTCTTGTAGTAATTGTCTGAACGCAACTCTGTTTCGGACTGCCTCTGACTCGACTGACTGTCTCGCTCGCTCAGACTGACTGACAGACTCCTGACGGACTTCACTCCAGACTTCAGGTTGAACTCCCTGCTTCCTCTTGAGACGCAGTATTTATTACGTATGGAATAGTCCATTATGTTATTATGGGTAAGGTCCCTACGTAGGATAATGGGCTTGTCCTCATTCACATAAATACAGTAGTAAATACTGTATGTTGGTCTGTAGTTGGAGATTTGTCTCTCGCTGTGCTGGTCAAATTCTCTGCCACCGGGCAGAGAGGATCCCCAGAGGAAGCTATATTGAAGGGTAGAGTCTCGTCTCGGGAAACAGCTACACGACCACGTTTTATACGCGGTCTACGGGGAATTTTTGGCCGAGTTCATGGGCTTGGATACCGCACATTAAATTTGGCCTTGTGCCTCATCTGACGGCGTGGGGCGGTTGATAGATATCTTTCAGTTGGAAATTCATTGTAGAATTCACGACTCACTTCCCGCAGTTGGCTACTTCTTCTACGCACCGCTGACGAATCTTATATGTGTTTTTCTTGTACTAAGTATTATCGTTTATTACCAACCTTCGTTTGATTATTCTATTCATTAACCTTACTTAGGTTAGAACAATAATCTTATCCATTACGGGAAAAAATTAGCACAGTTAGTTAATCCATTTCTAGTTTTTAATTCTAAAGAATTCAGTTGTGATTGTTAAATCGTTTCTCATTAGTTTTCCGTATGTAAAATAACAATGTCAGATTTCTCTAATATTTAACTTCTGGGTGTGATTATAAAATCGAATAGTCATCTTTGCTATTTGCCAGGGTAACGTGATGAAAGTGGTTGCAAATAAGATCACGCCACTTAACGTTTGTTTGTCTCGCATTAAATGTTATTGTCATGATCCTTGGAATGGTTATTTTAAATCCGTATTGATCAATGAATTCAGTACGTCGCAAAAATCAATACAACTGCGAAAAAGCTTAGAGATTATGATGCCTTTTGATGATAGAAACCTGACATAAAATCTGATTAAAAGTAAGTCAATGAATACATCCTACCCAAACGTAATTACAGTTTTAATTATCAAACATAAAAATTCCTTGGTGTACAAATTATCACAAACCATGAAAGATAGGTGTACACATACACAAAATGACTTGCGAATGACGCTGTGTTTAATGAACTAGTCTCACAGTCATGTGAAGCGACATCGATAATAACTTGGTGTACTGCTTTGTTTTTATATCCCAAACTAGATTAAGATCAGCAAATATCGTGTTTTTCACTATAAAGACTCCAGAGCATAACACTCACTTAGGAGTCAACATAGAATATCTAATACCCCAGTGGACAAAATAAAGGGTTCAGTACGAAATTCCAATAACCTGAAGAAGGCCGGAGACAGCAACAGCCAAAACGTCGTGAATATGGAAATAAAGATGTAGACAATAGTCTGAAGAAACTAAATAATGTAATCATTTCACGCCAATAAGGCAATAAAGCTACTAAGATTCAAGATGTTACTAAGGGCGAAAGAATATGACAAAAAGAACTAAAAACATTACTATGGATAGAGAATAATAAAATAACAGGAATTAAGAAGACAGAAGATAGCCATTGACATTTCATTTAAATTTATGAAGATCGTAGTTGACAGAAATGTAAGAAAAGTACCATAAGCAAAAAGTGAAGAGACAGTTGATAAAAGAGAAGAAAGCAAGAATCCAAAAGAGAGTACCATAAGCAAAAAGGGAAGAGACAGTTGATAAAAGAGAAGAAAAAATCCAAAAGAGAGTACCATAAGCAAAAAGTGAAGAGGTAGTTAATAAAAGAGAAGAAAGCAAGAATCCAAAAGAGAGTACGATGAGCAAAAAGTGAAAAGACAGTTGATAAAAGAGAAGAAAACAAGAATCCAAAAGAGAAATGAGAAAAAAGTGAATAGAAGTTGATAAAAGAGAAAAGCAAAAATCCAAAAGAGAGTACCATAAGCAAAAAAAAGTGAAGAGACAGTTGATAAAAGAGAAGAAAAGAGAAGAAAAAAAGAATTAATAAAAGAGAAGAAAGCAAGAATCCAAAAGAGAGTACCATAAGCAAAAAGTGAAGAGACAGTTGATAAAAGAGAAGAAAACAAGAATCCAAAAGAGAGTACCATAAGCAAAAAGTGAAGAGACAGTTGATAAAAGAGAAGAAAGCAAGAATCCAAAAGAGAGTACCATAAGCAAAAAGTGAAGAGACAGTTGATAAAAGAGAAGAAAGCAAGAATCCAAAAGAGAGTACCATAAGCAAAAAGTGAAGAGACAGTTGATAAAAAGAGAGAAAAGAATCAAGAATCCAAAAGAGAGCACCATAAGCAAAAAGTGAAGAGACAGTTGATAAAAGAGAAGAAAACAAGAATCCAAAAGAGAGTACCATATACAAAAAGGGAAGAGACAGTTGATAAAAGAGAAGAAAGCAAGAATCTAAAAGAGAATACAATAAGCAAAAAGTGAAGAGACAGTTGATAAAAGAGAAGAAAGAAAGAATCTAAAAGAGAGTACCATAAGTAAAAAGGGAAGAGACAGTTGATAAAAGAGAAGAAAGCAAGAATCTAAAAGAGAATACAATAAGTAAAAAGGGAAGAGACAGTTGATAAAAGAGAAGAAAGCAAGAATCCAAAAAAAGAGAGAGACAAATGACCATGAGCAAAAAGAGAGAAGAGACAGTTGATAAAAAGAGAAGAAAGCAAGAATCCAAAAGAGAGTACCATCAGCAAAAAAAGTGAAGAGACAGTTGATAAAAGAGAAGAAAGCAAAATCTAAAAGAGAGTACCATAAGCAAAAAAAGAAGAAGACAGTTGATAAAAGAAGAAAGAAGAAAAAGAGAAAGAATCTAAAAGAGAATACAATAAGTAAAAAGGGAAGAGACAGTTGATAAAAGAGAAGAAAGCAAGAATCCAAAAGAGAGTACCATAAGCAAAAAGTGAAGATAAAAGAGAAGAAAGCAAGAATCCAAAGAGAGTACCATGAAAAAAGAAAAAGAGAAAAGAAAGCAAGAATCCAAAAGAGAATACCATAAGCAAAAAGAAACGACAGTTGATAAAAAAGAAGAAAGCAAGAATCCAAAAGAGAGTACCATGAGCAAAAAGTGAAGAGACAGTTGATAAAAGAGAAGAAAGCAAGAATCCAAAAGAGAGTACCATAAGCAAAAAGTGAAGAGATAGTTGATAAAAGAGAAGAAAGCAAGAATCCAAAAGAGAGTACCATAAGCAAAAAGTGAAAAGGCAGTTAATAAAAGAGAAGAAAGCAAGAATCCAAAAGAGAGTACCATAAGCAAAAAAAGAAGAGACAGTTGATAAAAGAGAAGAAACAAGACTCCAAAAGAGAGTACCATTAGCAAAAAGGGAAGAGACAGTTGAAAAAAGAGAAGAAACAAGAATCCCAAAAAAAAGGAAGAGACAGTTGAGAGAAGAAAGCAAGAATCCAAAGAGAGTAAGCAAAAAGAGACAGTTGAAAACGAGAAGAAAGCAAGAATCCAAAAGAGAGTACCATAAGCAAAAAGGGAATAGACAGTTGATAAAAGAGAAGAAAGCAAGAATCCAAAAGAGACCATAAGCAAAAAGAAAGAGACAAAAAAGAGAAGAAAGCAAGAATCAAAAGAGAGTACCATAAGCAAAAAGAGAAGACAGTTGATAAAAGAGAAGAAAGCAAGAATCAAAAGAGAGTACCATAAGCAAAAAAGTGAAGAGACAGTTGATAAAAGAGAAGAAAGCAAGAATCAAAAAAGAGAATACCAAAGAGAAAAGTGAAGAGACAGTTGATAAAAGAAAAAAAAAGCAAGAATCAAAAGAGAGTAAAAAGCAAAAAAAAGGAAGAGACAGTTGATAAAAGAGAAGAAAAGCAAGAATCCAAAAGAGAACCATTAGAAAAGGAAGAGACAGTTGATAAAAAAGAAAGAAAGAAGACTCAAAAGAGAGTACCATAAGCAAAAAAGTGAAGAGACAGTTGATAAAAGAGAAGAAAGCAAGAATCAAAAGAGAATACCATAAGCAAAAAGTGAAGAGACAGTTGATAAAGAAGAAAGCAAAGAAAAAGTCAAAAAAAAGAGAGTACCATAAGCAAAAAAAAAAGTGAATATACAGTTGATAAAAGAGAAAAAGCAAGAATCCAAAAGAGAGTACCATAAGCAAAAAGTGAAGAGACAGTTGATAAACTAGAAAGAAGCAAGAATCAAAAGAGAGTACCATAAGCAAAAAAGTGAAGAGACAGTTGATAAAAAGAGAAGAAAGCAAGAATCAAAAAAGAAGAGACATAAAAAGCAAAAAGAGAGTACCATGTGAAGAGACAGTTGATAAAAGAGAAGAAAGAAGAATCAAAAGAGAGTACCATAAGCAAAAAGTGAAGAGATAGTTGATAAAAGAAAGCAAGAATCGAGAAGAAAAAAAAGAGCAAGAATCAAAAAAGAGAATACCATAATAAGCAAAAAGGGAAGAGACAGTTGATAAAAGAGAAAAAACAAGGCTCCAAAAGAGAGTACCATAAGCAAAAAGGGAAGAGACAGTTGATAAAAGAGAAGAAAGCAAGAATCCAAAAGAGAATACCATAAGCAAAATGTGAAGAGATAGTTGATAAAAGAGAAGAAAGCAAGAATCCAAAAGAGAGTACCATAAGCAAAAAGTGAAGAGACAGTTGATAAAAGAGAAGAAATCAAGAATCCAAAAGAGAGTACCATGAGCAAAAAGAGAAGAGACAGTTAATAAAAGAGAAGAAAGCAAGAATCCAAAAGAGAGTATCATAAGCAAAAAGGGAAGAGACAGTTGATAAAAGAGAATAAAGCAAGAATCAAAAAGAGAGTACCATAAGCAAAAAGTGAAGAGACAGTTGATAAAAGAGAAGAAAAGAATCAAAAGAGAGTACCATGAGCAAAAGTGAAGAGACAGTTGATAAAAAAGAGAAGAAAGAATGATCAAAGAGAATACCATGAGCAAAAAATGAAGAGATCAGTTGAAAAAAAGAATACTGCATTAAATGCAATGATATCAAAAGAGAATATAAACAAAAAATGCCAAATCATATCAAAAAGAAAGAAAGAATTAAAGAGCCATATGAAAAAAGGAAATACAGCATAAAATGAAAAATCAGAATCAAAAGAGAATACCATAAGCAAAAAATGAAAAGATATCAAAGAGAATTGATAAAAGAGAAGAAACATATCAAAAGAGAATACCATTAAATGCAAAATCATATCAAATGAATAAAATTAAATAAAAGATCATATCAAAGAAGCAAAACTGAATTAAATGCCAGATGATAAAAAGAGAAAAACTGCATCAAATGCCAGATGATATCAAAGAGAATACTGCATTAATAAAAAGAAGAAATGAAGAATATCAAAAGAGAAAAAAATGTTAAGAGACAGATGATAAAAAAGAGAATAAAGCAAGAATGCCAAGATCATATCATAAGAAAATACTGAAAAATGCCAGATCAAATCAAAAGAGAATAAATTAAATGAATCAAAAAGAGAATGAGCAAAAAATGAAGAGATCATTGATAAAAGAGAAACTGCAAAAATCCAAAGATCATATCAAAGAGAATAAAAAGAAAAGAGCCAGTTGATATCAAAAAGAATACTGAATTAAATGCCAGATGATATCAAAAAATGAATTAAATAAAGAGAAAAAAAGAATCCAAAAATAATCAAAAAGCAAAGTGCATTTAAAAAAGAGATCAAGCAAGAATCAAAGAGAATGCCATTAAAAAAGCCAGTTAATAAAAATATCAAAAAAAAATCCAAAATGAAGATCATATCAAAAGTGAAGAGACAGCATTAAAAGCCAGATCATATCAAAAAGAATACCATTAAATGCCAAATCATATCAAAAGAGAATACTGATAAAATGCCAGAAATCATATCAAAAGAGAATACCATTAAATGCCAAAGTGAAGAAACAGATAAAAGAGAAGAAACAAGACTCCAAAAGAGAATACTGCATTAAAAAAGCCAATCATATTGAAAAAAAAGAAAAATTAGAATCAAAAGATGATAATCAAAAAAGAAGCAAAAAAAGAGATCATATCAAGAGAAAATACTACCATGAGCAAAAAATGAAGAGATCATATCAAAAAAAAAAAAAAAGAAAAAAGATCATATCATAAGCAAAATACTGCATTAAATGACAGATGATAAAAAGAGAATAAAAGAATTAAATACCAAGAAAATGTAAAAGAAAAAGTGGATAAAAAAAAGAAAGAAGAATCCAAAAAAAGTGAGATCACCATAAAAAAAAGAGAAGAAAAAAATAAAAAGAAAATCAAAGAATACTGAGAAGAATACCAGATCAAATCAAAAGAGAGATACTGCATTAAAAGCAAGAATCCAAAAAGACCATGAGCAAAAAGTGAGGAAAAAGAAGAATGAAGAATAGAATGATAAAAAGAAGAATACAGCATAAAAGAAGAATCAAGATCAAAAGAGAATGAGCAAAAAATGCCAGATGATAAAAGAAAGAAAGAAATAAAAGAGAGTCTGCAAAAATACCAAAAATCAAAACAGATAGTTGCATTAAATGCCAGATCATATCAAAAGAGAATACCATAAGCAAAAATGCCAGATGATATTCTAAAAAGAGAATACTGCATTAAATGCCAGATCAAGATCAAAAGAATAAAGAGCATTAAATGCCACATGATATCAAAAGAGAATACTGCAAAGAAATACCATGCCAAAAAGAAAAAGAGATAATCAAAAGAGAATTAAAAAGTGGCAGTTAAAAAGGGATCATGCAAGAATCCAAATCATATCAAAAGCAAAAAGCCAGATGTTGATAAAAAAGAGAATACTGCATTAAATGCCAGATCATATCAAAAAAGAATACTGCATTAAATGCCAGATCATAAAAAAGAGAATACTGCATTAAATGCCAGATCATAAGAAAAGAAGAATAAAAAAGAGCATTAAATGCCAGATCATATCAAAGAGAATATAAATGCCAAAATCATATCAAAAGAGAATACCATGAGCAAAACGGAAGCCAGATGATATCAAAAGAGAATAAAATTAAAAGATCAAATCAAAGAAATACTGCCAAAAGAGATGATATCCAAAGAAATACTGCAAAAAATGCCAGATCATATTGAAAAAGAGATAACTGCATTAAATGCCAGATCATATCAAAAAAGAATACTGCATTAAATGCCAAATCATATCAAAAAGAATACAGTTGATTAAATGAGAAATCAAAGCAAAATAATGCATTAAAGATCAAAAAGAGTATCATAAAGCAAAAATAAAAGCATTAAATGCCAGATCATATCAAAGAGAATACTGCATTAAATGCCAGATCATAAAAAGAGAATACCATTAAATGCATATCAAAAGAGAATACTGCATTAAATGCCAGATCATATCAAAAAGAATACTGCATTAAATGCCAGATCATATCAAAGAAATACTGCATTAAATGCCAGATCATATCAAAGAGAATACTGCATTAAATGCCAGATCATATCAAAAAGAGAATACTGCATTAAATGCCAGATCATATCAAAAGAGAATACTGCATTAAATGCCAGATCAAATCAAAAAAGAATATCCAAAAGAGTACCATGCATTAAATGCCAGATCATATCAAAAAGAGAATACCTGCATTAAAATGCCAGATCATATCAAAAGAGAATACTGCATTAAATGCCAGATCATATCAAAAGAGAATACTGCATTAAATGCCAGATCATATCAAAAGAGAATACTGCATTAAATGCCAAATATCATATCAAAAGAGAATACTGCATTAAATGCCAGATCATATCAAAAGAGAGTACCATACTGCATTAAATCAAAGAAGCCAGATCATATCAAAAGAGAATACTGCATTAAATGCCAGATCATATCAAAAGAATACTGCATTAAATGCCAGATCATATCAAAAAGAATACTGCATTAAATGCCAATCATATCAAAAGAGAATACTGCATTAAATGCCAGATCATATCAAAGAGAATACTGCATTAAATGCCAGATCATATCAAAAGAGAATACTGCATTAAATGCCAGATCATATCAAAAGAGAATACTGCATTAAATGCCAGATGATATCAAAAAATACTGAATTAAATGCCAGATGATATCAAAGAGAATACTGCATTAAATGCCAGATCATATCAAAAGAATACTGCATTAAATGCCAGATCATATCAAAAGAGAATACTGCATTAAATGCCAGATCATATCAAAAAGAGAATACTGCATTAAATGCCAGATCATATCAAAGAGAATACTGCATTAAATGCCAGATCATATCAAAAGAGAATACTGCATTAAATGCCAGATGATATCAAAAAGAGAATACTGCATTAAATGCCAGATCATATCAAAGAGAATACCAGATCATTAAATGCCAGATCATCAAAAAAGAATACCAAATTAAATGCCAGATCATATCAAAAGAGAATACTGCATTAAATGCCAGATCATATCAAAAGAGAATACTGCATTAAATGCCAGATCATATCAAAAGAGAATACTGCATTAAATGCCAGATCATATCAAAGAAAAAAGCCAGAAAAAGAGAATATTAAATAAATGCCAGATCATATCAAAGAGAATACTGCATTAAATGCCAGATCATATCAAAAAGAGAATACTGCATTAAATGCCAGATCATAAAAGAGAATACTGCATTAAATGCCAGATCATATCAAAGAGAATACTGCATTAAATGCCAGATCATATCAAAGAGAGAAGATACTATCAAAAAATGCCAGAATCATATCAAAAAAGAATACTGCATTAAATGCCAGATCATATCAAAAAAATACTGCATTAAATGCCAGATAAAATCAAAAGAGAATACTGCATTAAATGCCAGATCATATCAAAAGAGAGACTGCATTAAATGCCAGATCATATCAAAAGAGAATACTGCATTAAATGCCAGATCATATCAAAGAGAATACTGCATTAAATGCCAGATCATAAAAAGAGAATACTGCATTAAATGCCAGATCATATCAAAGAATATACTGCATTAAATGCCAGATCATATCAAAAGAAAACTGAGACATTAAATAAAAGATCATATCAAAAAGAATACTGCAAGCAAATGCCAGATCATATCAAAAAGAATACTGCATTAAATGCCAGATCATATCAAAAGAGAATACTGCATTAAATGCCAGATCATATCAAAAGAGAATACCATGCATTAAATGCCAGATCATATCAAAAAGAATACTGCATTAAATGCCAGATCATATCAAAAGAGAATACTGCATTAAATGCCAGATCATATCAAAAGAGAATACTGCATTAAATGCCAGATCATATCAAAAGAGAATACCATTAAATGCCAGATCATATCAAAGAGAATACTGCATTAAATGCCAGATGATATCAAAAGAGAATACCATTAAATGCCAATCATGAAGAGAAGAATAGATCAAAAGAGAATACTGCATTAAATGCCAGATCATATCAAAAGAAATACTGAAAATGCCAGATCATATTAAAGAATACTGCAAATGAATCATATCAAAGAGAATACTGCATTAAAAAGCCAGATCATATCAAAGAGAATAATGCATTAAATGCCAGATCATATCAAAAGAGAATAAAGTGCAAGAAATGCCAGATCATATCAAAAGAGAATACTGCATTAAATACCAGATCATATCAAAAGAGAATAAAAAAGAGAAAATGCCAAATCATATCAAAAGAGAATACTGCATTAAATGCCAGATCATATCAAAAGAAAATACAAGCATTAAATGCCAGATCATATCAAAAAAGTGAATACTGCATTAAATGCCAGATCATATCAAAAGAGAATACTGCAAAAAATGCCAGATCATATTATAAAAGAGAATACTGCATTAAATGCCAGATCATATCAAAGAGAATACTGCATTAAAAACCAGATCATATCAAAAGAGAATACTGCATTAAATGCCAGATCATCAAAAAGAGAGTCCATAAGCAAAA